CCACCAGATTGCACAACATGGATTGTACAGTAGTAGATAATCTATAAATGTATATTTTGAAGACTCTCATGATAAAATGATCACTTTCTTTTATAAACAAAGGTCTTAGCAAAATTAATGTCTAGCAGCTACTTTATGTTCTGTGCTTTTCAAATATTAACAACCTAGTAGATAAGTGTTGCTCTACATACAAACACAGTTTTAAGGTTATAGATGATTTTTAACAGTTTTTACCCCTCCCCCACTTTTGTGTTCAAAGATAGTTAAGACCTAATACGGTCACAGGTAGTGGTCACACTGGGGGACCATGGCTATAATTAAGTTTCCCCGAAAGGTTGGTTATCAGCAGTTCCTGTGTGTGAAAGAGACTGACCTAAATCTGTAGGAAGTGGAAATTTTTGCATCTTCCACACAAAACATATGTGTGAAATATGTTTTTATCATCACAATATTGAAGATGTTATGAATATTGGTACAATCAATTGTGGAAGTAGTACAGAAAATTAATTTACTATACAGAAGAGTTTGTATTTGTTCTAATGTTAGAAGGTTCAGGTTATATTTAGAACTCTAATTTTACATTATGGACTGCTTATATTAATAAGCAGAAATTTAGTTTAAATACCCCCTCTCTCTCTCTATCACACACACACCGTACAAACACACACTCAGTCATATTTTTCAGCCATATGATACCATTGGGCTGGAGGATAGCACAGCGGGTAGGGTGTTTGCCTTGAATTGGCTGACCCAAGTTCGATTCCTCTGTTCCTCTCAGAGAACCTGGCAAGCTACTGAGAATATCCCTCCCGCATGGCAGAGCCTGGAAAGCTACCATGATGTATTCAATATGCCAAAAACCGTAACAACAAATCTCACGATGGAGATGTTACTGGTGCCTCCTCAAGTAAATTGATGAACAATTGGAGGACAGTGCTACAGACAGAGCATAAAATCACTAGCCTGAAGTAAATGTGGAATTCATTATGATTTCTCATGGCCTAATTCTTACTTTCATCTACCACTATCCCTGTTCCTCAAATATTCATATATTTCAATCCTTCCCCTACTATTTAGAAGTGACACTATTTGGAGACAGAATCTTTAGCAAGGCAATGAAGTTCACATGAGGCATCAGAGTGGCTCTAATTCAATGTCTGGTGTGCTTATAAACATAGAATATTAGCACTGAGATTTGCACAGGGAAGACGGCATGACAATATGGAAAAAAAGACAGCAATATGCAACCCAAAGAGAAAAGTCTCAGACAAAATCAACATGATGACGTCTATTATTGATTTCTAGCCACTGCATTATTGGAAAGTAAGTAGGTTTTAAGTCTTCAGCACCGGTATGGCAGTCCTAGTACTTAGATAGGAGACTTTGCTAAATCTTTTCTAGGAAGTCAGTAGGAAGCATTGAATAATACGAGTTGGTCTATCACAACTAGCTTTTGTCTTCAATATATATCCATGTAATTTATTCTCTGGCATTACAAAACTAGTTGTGATTCAAAGGGAAGTTTTTATTTAATAATAAAACACAGAGTGATAATAACACATGAAAATAATGTATGTTTAGTGTGTAAAAGAACCTAGAGGAAGAAATATGAGGTATACTTTATGAAAGTCTAAGATACAGAGAGACTAGCACTGAATTGTATACTTAAGTACTGTAGCTAAAAAGTAAAGAGAATAGAAGATAGTAGAAATTGTCAAAAAGGAGTTCTTCAATAACTAGGATCTTATTTCTCTGAACCACTCCCAACAACCCTAATAAGGTTATTGTTTTGGTTTGTCTTTTTGATACCCCCTCCCCAGTGGTGGTCATGGATATCTCTTAGCTCTGTGCTCAGGGATCATACCTGGAGGGACTCAGGGGACCATATGTGGTGCCAGGGATTGAACTCAGATTGGCTGTAAGTGAAGCACATGCCCAAATCACTGTACTATGGCTCTGACCTTCTAGTTTGGTTTTCAAACAGAAGCAATAACAAATAAATGCAGTTACATTAAATTAAGATTCTGCATCTCAAAAGAAGTAATGACCAAAATACAAGGACAACCACAGACTGGGAAGAAAAATTTGTCCACTGAGATTTACCATCTGATAAAGGGTTAAACTCTAAGTTGTATTAAACATTTGTAGAACCGTATCAAAAAAAAAAAAAGAAAAAGAAAAGAAAATCCTAGCCCATCAATAAATGGGAGAAGAGATGAACAGAAACATTGTCAATGAAGAAATGCAAATGGCCAAAAGTCTTGAAAAAAAAGCTCTGTATCACTATCAAAAAAAAAAAAATAAAACACTATCAAAACACCACCCCACAGCAGAAAAACTGACTCTCATCTAAAAGCACACTGACCAGTATTGGCGAGGATGTGGGGCAAAAGGGATTCTCTCAGTCACTGCTGAGAGAATTGTGGGAAAGTCAATTGGTCCAGCCTTTTTAGAAAACAATACTGACTTTCCTTCAAAAAATGTAGGTATTGTGCTTCCATATGACTCAGCAACTCCTGGGAATTTATCTTCAGGGCCCAAAAGTACAATGTACAGAGGACATCTGCACTCTTATGTTCACTGCAGCACTATTCACAATATTCAAAATAGGTAAGCAGCCCAAATGTCCAAGAACAGATGACTGGATAAAGAAGCTATAGTACATATACACAATGAAATACTACTTGGTCTTAAGAAAAGATGGAATCGTGCAATTTGCTGTTATGTGGAGTGTATCATGTTAAGTGAAATCAGTCAGAGGAATATGAACAGACTCAGAATAATCTCTCCCATAGTTGGATATAAAGAAAATTCACAGGGAAATATCAAATGCCTAGTGGTAATACAAATGAAGAGCAGGAGATCTGTTCTTCATTAGGACGCTTGCCTAATAGTACCAAGACTCAGTTAATGTCTCTTGATGTCTCTTCATTAACTTTGTCTTCTTGAGTTTCAGCAAAGTTTATGACTTGTAAGTCACCTTCTCTGTTAAGTACATTCTTGAGCAATTTATTCTTTATCACCTAATTATTGTAGGTGAATTATTTTTATGTCTTTACAGATTGGATATTAGTATAATGCAGTGAAAAACCTGGTTCCTGTGTATTGATATTGTATCCTATGTTGACATGGCAGGAGATTTTAGAGCTTCTCAAAGCTCGCTTATCTTTGGCTCCTTCCATGTCTACCTAAAGAACTGCAGCACTGTGTGCTACTCAGCTCAGTTTTCAGTGGTTTCCAGATTTGGGCTGGAAAATCTGGTCCTGATTAAGCAAGATGGAAACTAACCAGCTCCTCAAGAAGACTCAAACATTCTACCATGATGCACACCAGTTCCTTTCTTTCTATTTTAAAGAAGAACTCTTGCTTTCCAGGATTTCTCTCTCTGAAATGTGTTGGACAGAGAGGCACTCATGAGTGAGAGAGGCGATAATGGCTGAACTCAATGCCAGGATTATCTTACCCTGTGTTCAAATCCTGTCTTCCTTTCACAATTGCCCAGGGATCATTGCTTCTTACTGGGCAGTATATTTTTTTCAGTTTTTTTCAGATGTCGCTGTCAACCAGTGTCACTGTGGAAGAAGAACAGGTCATTTCCTCGGCCTTTTACTTACTTTTATCTGTTGTTACCTTGCTTATATCACATTTTCTCTTCTATTTTAAGCCCAGAGGACTTTCTTGTTCTCATGCTTCTTACATTTTTATCTTGTACAAAATGATTTTTTTGGGATCACACCAAGTGATGCTCAGAAATTACTCCTGGCTCTGCACTCAGGAATTACTCCTGACGGTACTCAGGTGACCATATGGGATGCAAGGGATCAAACTGGGTTGGTCACAGGCAAGACAAAAGCCCTACCCATTGTACTATTGCTCCGGCCCTTAAAATGATTTTTTTATCTCTGTCCCACCTTATGTAACTGCATAACCATTACCTCATGTGTTACATTTTTTTAAAAAAAAGACTCACATAATTGTCTCAATCCACTTTTTGAAAAATATAATCTCATAATATCAGCAATGAGTTATGGTCAAATGTGACCTCTCCATGTATTAGTCATCTCTTGGATGTGATTGTTCTTTGTATTCAAAAGCAACTTTGTACTTACCTATTTATCTGAACACATTAAGCCAGATAATCTAATGACAAAATAAAATGTTTTGGTTTTTTGCTATACCTGTCTTTGCTCTGGGCTTATTTGGGGCTCTATATTCAGGTATCACTTCTGAAGGCACTAAGAGACATTATTCAGTCAGGGATTAAACCCAGGTTAGTGGCACACAAGGCAAGTGACTAATCTGTTGTATTTTTTCTCTTGCCCTCACCTCTGAAAATGTTAATATATATTATATGTGCATATAATTTCCCTGAATATAAACATGAAGTATAATCCTGATTCCTACTATTTTTTTCTAAAATGACTTCTCAGTAAAAAGGTGATCAAATAAATCCATTCATATATTTTGAAAACCTCCTTACTTCTGAATTCTCATTAGTTTCTTAACTCATGAGTATATAGTAAGATTTAATAGTAATACTCCTTTATGATAGAAGAATATCATAGTAAAAAACAAAGTGACTTCTTAATATATTTCAGGTGACTTAAAGACATTTTATTAAGTATTCTGTGTCTTGGCTTCTGCACTTTGAGAAACCCAATAAATCGGCACTCTCGATGAACGTTTCTTTTTGCCTTGTCCTCAAGAAAGGAACTCAAAGTGATGGTTAGATAAACAAACAAAAAAATAAGCTCCACCAGAATTTTGTCGAAAAACACACCAGCTCATTAAGTGGTGCCCAGACATAATGGACACCCAAGAGGACTATATCATTAATTTATGGACAAAACAAAGAGATAATGTTCGGGTGGGAGGGGATATCAAGTGAGAACAAAGAGTTTTAGACTGGGCACTTCCTTTCACTGATCTTGAGTCAGACAACTGGAGTGTGTTCTTGTAAGCAAGTTTAGTGCTATGTTTTTCTGTTTCCTATGGACCAGGTGATATATGCTGACTTAAACCTACTCAGGAATTCTGGCCTTGAAATTTCATCTCCATCTCCTCCTCCTCAGAGTAAGTGCTTTAATTTTTCTTTGCTCTTAGTACATCTCTCAGAGTTAGGTTTGTTCCTAAATTTATGAACTTAAACCATTGTTTCACAGGTGAGCAACATGGGCTGGAGCAATACTATAGTAGCTAGGGCTCTGACTTTGCACATGGCCTACCAGGGTTTGATCTCCAGCATCCCACATGGTTCCCCCAAGTTCACCAGGAGTAATCGCTGAGCAAAGAGCCAGTAGTAAGCCCTGACCATAGCTGGATGTGGTATGCCCAAAAACAATAACTAAAAATAAAGATGATCAGCAGTATTACATTAATATTAAAAAAGTCTAGCATAAATGTCTCTAGATACAATGTGCAAAAAAGATCACACATTTCAGATTTTTCTGTATTGATATCACTGTTGAAAGTAAACTTTGCTTCTATTGATAAAACATATTGTTATATATAAGTGATCTTACTTTAGAAAACTTTTGCTTACAAACACCTTTGAAACTAATAAAAGCTAAAAATTATAATTATAATAGATACATGTTATAAACCAAATAGGAACACAGGGGGCATTAGTATTATATGATAGGTATAGGAACTATTCACACACAACTTTAAGTAGAAAAATGGAAGTGTAATTCATGAAAATAATTCCCATCAGAGCTAATATAGCTTTGGAAATTGTGGTCCAATGTTATTCAAGACTTTCATCAGTAGCTTCTCTTTTTTTATTTCTTCTATGAAATTCAGGTTTTGAAAGATATCTAGAAGCAAAGAATCAATACATTGGTTGATAAATTGGTAAAATGAGCATAAATGTGATTCATTTATTTTCATTAATATACTTATTCTATTATATAAGTTAATTTCATTAATGATATTATTTTCATTAATATACTCTCTTATGAATATGGGTTATACTGTTTGCTATATAACTTCCGAGAAAACCAAAAGTTTGTGCTAGGGAGAGAACCAAGGAAGAGGAGCTAGACAAGCGCCTATTCCCTGTACTGTCTTTTTGGCTTCTAAAGGCCTTTATTTTTTAGAGAATTTTCTTTGACTTATTTTCTACAATAATTTATGTGCTTCATTTTTGTGTACAACTCAAAAATACCTTCTTTCTATGTTATTTGATTCTTGGCGCAATTGTTCACACATAAAAACCATAGGTATTTGATTCAATCAATGAGAAAGTTTTCAACTAGATCTAAGAATCATCTCGTGAGATGCAAAAGAAGATTGATAAATATTGTAGACTGTGACCAGTTGTTTATTTTGATCCAAACAATCCTCTTTTCGAACCAGATGAACACAAATATGACATTAACCTATGACTTTTTTGTGCTTCTCAGATATCTGCCAAGGTTTGTGCAAGCACCAATTTCCACTGAAATTTGTCTGTGTTTTGGTTATTATTATTATTATCCTGTCTGCAATAGGGTTTAGTGTTTCAGGTAAGTGATTCAAGATCCTCTTTTTTAAAAGAATATTTATCTACCACTGTCACAAATATTAGAGTATCAAAATATAATTTGGTCACCTAAACTTAAAGATCAATGAGATAAAACTAGAGGTCAATGATTTAGTGACACTGAGAGCCTATCAGATTACAAACTTCAATCTTTCCTCTTTCTTCCTGATTGTTCTAATGTTCTCTATTATTTACATGTATTCCAAGAATACAAAAAATCACTAGGGTGATAGTAGGGCAGTCAGGGTGCTTGACTTGAACAAAGTCAACTCGGGATTGATTCCTAATACCACGAAAGGTCCTCACAGCCCTTTAAGAGTGATGTCTGCATGCAGAACCAGGAGTAACCGTAGGCACCACAAGGTATGTTCCCCCACCACCACCCCCATCCTACAAGAAAAGCAGAACAAAAACCCAGAAAACAAAACAGTTCCATTTTTTAAAAATATTTTCAGTTCCAAACTGCACCAAGAAATCTCTCCTGCAGGTGGGATAGGCATTATATATAGTCTCACATGGTAAACTACTATAAGCAATTTAAAAGTGTAACTGATGATTCAAAATTCTTTTATTAAGCAGAAGACATGAAACATGAAGAATTGTAGGTTTGCATGATTTCATTGGCCCCATGAATTTTTCTTGTTCCTCTATGCCATCTTTTAACGAGATCTTCTTAACTACAGTGCTATCACTATAATCTATTGTTCAAATTCAAGCTAAAGATCACTTATTTTCCGAAATTGATAAATATAGCATATTCATTTCACCCAGCATTGAAACATTTAATCATAATAACTTTTCCTTGTTTCCTAGTCATGTTAATACAAAAATCATCAACAGAAAAACATGTTCCAGAGAGTAGGAAGAACACAACAGGTAATTCTGTGACTTGTGTTTCTTAAAAGGAGAAATTGGCACTTGGTGAATATCATGCACTTCTTTAATTTAGGGTCATAACAGTGCATAGTTAAGATGGTTCCAAATCTGTGATTTTCTGTTTGACAAAAGTGGGACATGCAAAGCTTGTATGAGATTTTGTGGGGTTCTATAAATGGCAGTAGTGACACTGTGAATTGTACATAAGCTGTGTGACTCCAGAGTCTATGATATTTTTGGTCAAAAGGGTGTTGTTGGGTGGAGGGGACACTTCCAAGTAGTGCTTAGAGAGCTTGAGGGCAAGATTTAGGAATACTTGGCCAATAGAGTTGGTTGGATGATACAGTGTTAAGGCCTGGCCATGAGGGACACGGATCATCCCATCTGGAGGTACATAGAGATCTCCTGGACCATACCCTCTGGTGTTCAGCGAACATGTGATTCCAGACGTTGATCAGGGCCTTGTACACGTACCCCTGGCTCCTGAACTGGCTCCTAGAACTCACAGAGCCTGTGATCCAACAGGTTTTGGTTTCTCATGAGAAGCAGCTGCCAGCATATTCAATAACTAAGAGTCAAGAATCAAGTTGAAAAGTAAATTTGGTTATAGTAAGATACTTCATGATTTTAATATACATAATAAAATACTTAAAATTGTCTGGATTAATGAATAGAACACAAACAAAATTAATTCTGGAGTAAGATTGCACTGTTGAGACATTAATCTTGTCCCAGCAAGCAGTGTCTGTTTGTATAGACACTATGTTGAATGACTCTAAGAGAATGTATCACTTGTGTGCTCATTATCACTGTGGAAAAATTATTTATTTTTTAATTATTTTATTTTATAAAGTAGTTCACAATATATGATTAAATTTAATATTCACACACCAATTCCACCACCATTACACATTCCCACCGCCATGTTTTCGATGTTTCCATCCCACACCCTGCCCCAAAGGAGAACCGAAATAATATATTTTGTATTGTTTATTATGAAAATTTTCTGAGAATGCTAGAAAAAAGTATCCTTCGAGGAAAGAGTGTGAGGCTTGTTGTATTTCACCCAGGGGCCATTAAGCCCTTCTATAAGAGATCACTAACATGTTGTTAAAGGTTGAGACTTGTGGGTTTTTTTATATATGTGTGTGTAAAAAACAATGTATATTTTTCTCTAAGATTGGTTGTCTCCTATTTTGACCCCTGCAAAATGTGGTTGCAGTAATCCTGGAATATGGGTAGTGTATTTGGTTTGAAGTACACATGGGTGCATTTGAGGCCATGCGGTTCAGGAATGAATGCACTTTTGTGTGAGGCTCAGCCCAAGCATGTGGAGAGCGGCCGTAGTGTGGCAGTGGCTGAGTTGTAGAAGTTTTCAGCTGCCAGTTCTTGGTCTCTTGGGTGGGGAGGTGTCTTACCAGCCCCACTCCAGGACCCCCTGAGTGAAACAGCCTGGCGTGAGGTCTGGTGGCATGGTTATGAAGAGTGCCATGTTGCTCCCTTCCAGGAGAGAAGGTTGTGCAATTTCTACTGAGGAAAAATTTTAAAAAACCTAGAAAACTCTTCAGGAAATGCTACACATTCACACACATCTCACACACTGACACACAATGATACACACACATTATCTCACACACAGACATACCTTGATATACATATCTCATACATAGACACTGATACACACACATCTCACACAGACACACACTGATACACACATATCTCTCACACAGATACACACGGATACACACATATCTCACACAGACACACACTGATAAAAAAGGTATGCACATATATATGCATGCATATGTATATATATACATGCATAAAATCAAAAACCACAAAAAATAAAGATTATTCGTTCCCAATGGATCACATAAAATATATATGATATAATATGACAATTTGAGTATTTATGATTTTTTCCTCATGGTATATGTCATTAATTTTGCTAGAGACTTGTTGTTACTGTGTTTGACATATGGGCGAGATACTCTTGGTAGCTTGCCGGGCTCTCCGAGAGGGGCGGAGGAATTGAACCAGATTCACTGGGCTGGCTGCGCACAAGGCAAACACCCTACCGCTGTGCTATTGCTCCAGGAAAATGAAATGTTTTAGTTTTTCACTTTGTTTTTTTTATAACAGTTAATAAGGTCATTTTATTTTTTAGTACCAAGTTATTTTTAATTTACTTTAATTTTTTCGTTCAGTTTAATTTTTCAGTTTAGTCATAAAATTACAGTCATCCATGGTTGGGTTGTTTTTCATTCTGAATGTGATGTGTTAGCAGAGAGCTGACTCAGTTTGTTCATAGATGTAGAGGCAGTCCTGGATGGGTACCAACTCATCTCTGAACCTCAAGGAAAACAAGGAAGGAGCCACTAAGTTCCTGCTTGGAGTGGAAAGTTCTCTTAGCAGTTAACTACATCAGCCACAAGGACAACCTAATCACAATTGATTTGCTCAGTCTGTGTGTTAGTCCTGTCTCCATGAATGCAGGAGAACTCTAACAATGTCTTAGAATGAATGAGTCAAACTCTCCTGTATCTAGAAAATGATGTTGCCTGTGCTGGAAGAAACAGGTTTCTTATGTTCTCGGAGGAAAGATTTAGTGAGGAGGTAAAGTTGCAATCTAAGGTTCCCGATGGACTGAAGGGTGGTGGTACCTTCAGCGCTGGAGAGACTGTACGGCAGCTAGGGCGCTTGCCTTGCACGAGGCCAACCAAGTTCAGTCCAAGGTACTACATATGGTCTTCACACCAGAACCAAGAATAATTCCCAAGTTTTTTTATTGCCTCTTTATATTTTGTATATTTATTTTTTAATTGAATCACCATGAGATACAGTTACAAAGATTGCATGTTTGAGTTTTAGTTATACAATGATCAACACCCATTAATCCACCAGTGCACATTTTCCACTACAAATGTTCCCAGTATCCCAAACACACACACATCCCACCCCACCCCTGCCTCTATGGCAGACAATTTCCCCTATGCTTTCTCTTTTCTTTGGGCATTATGGTTTACAATACAGATACTGACTTTCCCGCACACATGTCTCATCCAGAGCAATCTCTCCAACCATCATTGACTTAGTGATCCCTTCTCTATTCCAGCTGCCTTCTCCCCCAGATCATGAGTCAGGTTAACAACCATAGTTCCCAAGTTTGAAGCTAGAAGTGACCCTTGAGCATTGCCATGTATATCCACAAACTAAAATAAAACAAAAAACAATGGTACCTGGAAAAGTGGATGTAGGGTCAGTTCCACTATGCCTCAGCTTTTTGTCTTTGTTGCAGAAAGAATTCAAGGACAAGACAGTGTAAGTAATAGGAGAGAGATTTATAAAAGAGATAGTACACACCTGATGTGGGGATGGAAGCACTCAAGAGGGAGTTACCAGATTTGGGAGGGAGGTCCAGGAGTTTTAAGGAGTGAGCTAAAGAGAAGACTATGCAAATGCAGGTAAGCAGGAGAAGCATGACAGGGGTGGGGCTAAAGTTTCAAATGTAATAAAGACTACATGCTTATTCATGTGTTGTATGCATCATTAGCACATAATTATGCAGCCAGCGGAGGGGCAGCATGTAAGTTCATACATTTCTGGAGATTAAAGAGGAGAGAGGAGAAGCCGTGTCAGGGATCTCCTCACCGAGCCTGTCCTAGCAGCTGGCTCTCTGTCAGGAAGTTGAAACCACCAACTTCTGCTGGGTTGCTCCTGGTTAGCCACCAGCCAGTCCTTCTTGCTCCCTGAGGTGGATTACCACACTGCCTCAGCTACAGCGGATGTTTTAACTGAACATTTTTTGAGTGGTTTTCCTACAGATGCCCACATCATAAGAGTGTGAGTGAGTTTAAGAAAAATCGGCAGGAGGTCTGTCTGACTCCCCCCACCAGATCCAACACTCTGCTCCATCAGCGTCTTCAATGGAAGTCATGGCTGCTCTCATTACTGATCATCTTCCTTATTCTAATATCCTACAGTTTCAATTATACTCTATATAAATGACCAATAATTTATAACTTTGATACAAGTTAAAAGTAAATCTCAAAACTCTAAAAATCATAATAAAATCTTGAGTTTTATAAGAAATGTCTGAGGTGAAAACTAACTGTGGTGTATCACTAATGACTGCCCAGGTCCCGCAGACAGAACTTGCTGAGAGAGCTCAGTCCTTGCACATAGGAGTTCCTGAATTGCCTTTTGTTACTTTGTTTGTTAGTGTTCTTTAGTGTCACACTGAGCAAAGCTCAGGGACTTACTCCTGACTCTGTACTCAGGCATGACTCTTCGCAGCCTCGTGGGACCTTTTGCATGCCAGGTGGGTTGCATGCAAGACAAGTGCCCTAACCATACTTATTATATTTATTTCTTCTCTAATTTAAGAGAGGCCCCCTCTGTTAACTTGCACAGAACCGTGGAAACGACAAGGACAGAAATGCTTGACTTTTTCATCCACATCAGACTCTTGGAATACCAGTCAAACCCACTGTTCCAAAAAGGAATCCACATTACTGCTTATTCAAGATGCGAAGGAACTGGTAAATAATAAAATGAAGGACTAGAATAGAATTAGTTCTTGGGATATTTTGCTTTTTGTTTTTCTTTCTTTTTGGCATTTTGGGTCACATCCAGCATGCAAGGCAAATGCCATCTCTGCTGTGCAATTGTTCTGCCCCCTAGAATTAGTTCTTACTCCTAACTACATCAACACCTTTAGACCCTGCTAAAGACAGTGGAACTTTGATGTAAAGAATTTATCACTCTAAGGTTCTAAAAAGAGAAGTAAGCAAATAATGGTGTTATTTTATGAATATAATCATTTAAATACAGAAAGATAAAGAAATTTCACAAAGGAGAAATAATGCTTTAGGTGAGTAGCACCTCCTGAGGCTTCTGGACTCTTTTCATCGTCCTCCCCTCGTGGTGGGGATTTGCGTTATTTCTTCATGTTGGTGTGGAGGTATGGAGACCGAGATGTTACATGAGATTGCTGGGTATGGGTAAACTACCTGCAGTGGTGAGCAGTCGCTGACCCAAAATCAGGGCACAGAGGTCACGCCCACTTCTGAATAGGCCACGCCCCCTAAAGGTATACTGGTGGGGGGGGATGAAGAGGACCTGGGCACAGCATTGGGGATGAACAGGAAGAGGCTCAGGGATGGTGAGCGTCCCAGGGTCCTAGAGGATGCCTGAGTCGTGGATGCAGGGAAATCCAAGTGCCCGGGTTCAAGTAAAGACTGACCTGTGGGATGAAGAAGACAGGGCACAGAGTTGGGGACGAAAACAAAGCACAAAGGAGAAATAATTCTGATGGTGAATTTAGAAAGACTTTATAGAGAAGTGGTGTCTGAATGAGTTTTTAGGTAATAAGCATATTTATGCTAACTATAGTAAAGTAAATTCAATATATTCTGTAAAGGCCCTCCCGTTGATCGTCGATTTGCTTGAGCGGACCCAGTAACGTCTCCATTGGAGACTTTGTTGTTACTGTGTTTGGCATATCGAATACTCTCGGTAGCTTGCCGAGCTCTCCGAGAGGGGCAGAGGAATCAAACTCGGGTCGGCCATGTTGGCCGCTTGTAAGGCGAATGCCCTACCGCTGTGCTATCGCTCCAGCCCTGAAATTCAATATATATACATTTCTTATTTAATTTAGAATGAGATACAAAGAACTGTAAATGAGACAGGAATGGAATTTTGGATTGGATTAACATTTTCATCATCAGAGAAGAAGTGGAAATGGATTAATGATTCTTTTTTAAATCCTACTGGGTGAGTACTAGAGGAGTTATGCAAATATTCCACTTAGATTTACATGGAAAGATGGCAACATTGTTATTGAAGACTGAGTTTTCTCATTTCAATTAAGCTTAGAAATTTTCAAGAGGTTTAGAATAGACCGAGCAGATCAGTGTTTCTTGTGTTCATTAAATATTTCATATGAAAAAATAAGTCCTTTATAATAGCACTCTTTAATTTGTTTTATTTATTTATTTTAATGGATTCACTATGAGATAGACCCTTACAAAGTTGTTCATGATTGAGTTTCAGTCATATTCCAACACCCATTCCTCCACCAGTGTACATTTCCCTGCACCAGTGTCCCTAAGTTCCTTTCCATCACCTCCCACTCCCACCCCCTACCTGCCTCTATTGCAGGTGATTTTTTCTGTCCATCTGTCTGTCTGTCTGCCTGTCTCTCTCTCTCTCCCCACATTTGTTTACAGGATCCAAACCCAGTAGCACTGGGGACCTGGGACTACTCCCAGCTCTGCTCGACCCAGTGGTGCAGACCTAAGGGTAACATGCTCAGGCCCAGTGACAAACATTAAGGCCTTGCAAAGCCCTGACCTCTGGGTGTACAACCGGCAGTGATGCACTCGGTAGGGCATAAAGTGCCAGGGATCAGACTCGGGGCCTTGAAAACACTGTACACATGTCTCACCAATTGAAATATTTTCCATGTCTAATAGCATTTATTTATATTTAAAAGCATTTATTTATATTTGAAAAGTTGTTTAAAGAGATAATGAATCTAATTTCTTTGAAAGGAATACAATACATTCTTTAAAAATAAATTCTAATTGTAAACTACTTGGGATTTCTTCAGTAGCATTTTTCAGACCGTGAAGCATGGACTTTAGTGATGATAACCAGCATTGAAAAGCCAGGGATAAAAATTGGTTGTAAAACATTGACTTTCATGAATGATTGAATATAATGCTATAAATTAGTGTTTATATAATTTTATATAAATGGTTACAAATTTTGACCATTTAAACAATGAAAGTTTAAAAATTAAATATCAGAAAAGTTAGAGCAAAACCGAGACTGTGAGAAACAGAGAAGAAATTGCCTACAATAGAAAGAGGATGGGAGAAGGAATGGGAGGGAAACTGGGGACATTGATGCTGGGAAACAGACTGGTGGAGAAATGGGTGATGGAACACTGTATGACTGAAACCCAGTCACGAACAGCTTTGTAAGGGTCTAAAATAGACTGATTCAATAAAAAAAAATAATGATAAAAGAAAAAAGGAAATAGAAAATCTCAGGAGCATATTCAAGTTTATGTAGCATGCAACAACTTATGAAATATTGAAAAGTATCAAATATAGAAATAAATGTTGAGTTAATGAATCGGTACTGACATTACTTGAGCATTATACTAAGCTACTTTCTCTGACATTGTATGAATATTATACTGAACTACTTTCTGTTTTTAATTTTATTTTATTGAATCAATGTGAGATACAGTTACAAGCTTTCATGTTTGAGTTACAATCATACAATGCTCAAACACCCATCCCTCCCCCAGTGCACATTCCCCACCTACAAACTCCCCAGTATACCCCCCCTTTCCCACCTTCCCCCTGCCTCCATGGCAGACAATATCCCACATACTCTCTCTCTACTTTCGGGTATTATAGTTTGCAACACAGATGCTAAGAAGCCATGACTTTTGGTCCTTTATCTACTTTCAACACATCTCCCATCCCAACCGATTCTTCCAATCATCATTTTCTTAGTAATCCCTTCTCTGTTCCAGCTGTCTTCTTCCTCCTCTTATGAGGCAGGCTTCAATGTATGGAGCAATCTTCGTGGCCCTTGTGTCTCCCATCGTAGGGTGTCAGTATCATGTTCTGTTATTTTATACTCCACAAATGATTGCAGTCCTTCTATGTCTGTCCCTGTAATTCTGACTCATTTCACCTAGCAGGATATTCTCCATATATATTCACTCATGAGAAAATTTCATGACTTCATCTCTCTTAATAGCTGCATAGTATTCCATTGTGTAGATGTACCAAGGTTTCTTTAACCAGTCATCTGCTCTTTGGCACTCGGATTGTTTCAAGATTCTGGCCACTGTGAGCTACTTTCTTAAATGCAAATCTCTAAGATACAGGCTTTTCTGTTTGTTTGTTTTTTGCTTTTTGAGTCATACCCAGAGATGCACAGGGGTTACTACTGGCTCATGCACTCAGAAAATACTCATGGCAGTGCTCGGGGGACCATATGGGATGCTGGGAATCGAACTCGGGTCAGTCACATGATAGGGTCGGCAAATGCCCTACCCGCTATGTTATTCTCCAGCCCGGATAAAGGCTATTTTAAAGAGCTCTTATGAGCTAGAATCAATTTTTAAAAGACAAATATAGGCATATTGTTAAGCAAAAGTGATCCTGATATTGTATGCTTTCTGGGGATTCTTGTTTGTACTTTACTTCCTTATCAATTAAACTCTGGCAATAACATTTTTATGTTTTCATATAAAGTCAGGATTAATTTTGACCTATTAAGTTTATTGTCTGAATATAGATTTTTATTATTTGGTTTCTCATAGATGTTCATCTTATTTACTTTCCAAATAAAATTGGATGCCAGTATAGTCTCAATGAGCTCCAATATTGGTGAAGCAGATCTGAGAGGTTCAATTTAATATTCCATTTATTCTGGGGATTGAAATGATGTTTTGAGGTTCTGTGGAAAATAGTGCAAAGGCTAAAGCATTTGGAATGCTCTCTGTCCCCCATCTGAACCCAAAGTCACATACCCACCACCCCAAGCTCAAAACTCCCAGAGGGTATTTCTTGCTGTGGACCTGGTGATTCCTAGCACTGTCTAGTTGAACAGCAGCATACTTGCAAACTGAAATGGTGTTTTGTCTATCAAAACAAAAGATACTACCTGATGATAGTTATCAGGTAAACCTGGAAGGCATCAGGTTATATAAGAAGAGTATTAGTTGAACTCAGCTCTTACTATTTAAGCATTCAACCCTGGTGTTCAGTTAACAAAAATACAGAAGATAAAGCCAAGAGTTTTCTCAAGATTGCTTTGGAGACTGAATGAGATGCAGCCAAAGAAGCAGTCAGAGGTCTTTTCCAGGAGCCTTGAGCCATGAAGGGTTCCTGGAGTGGCAGTGATGGCTTCAGTACAATGAGCTCTAGGAAGTTACCTTGAAAATGGAAGAAAGGCTCAGGGGGTGGAGAGATCACAAATAGGGATCTTGGTGATGGCCCAGTTAAGACATGTTCTTTATGATACTGTGAAACTCCATCAAGTGTCTAACACTAAAAACGAATCTCACACTCATGCCATCCCTACACCAAACTCTAAATCTGCCTTTTCATTATTGTCTGTCCTCTTCTCTCACACTGCCTGCAGTGAGACACCAGATTCGTGCTTGACTGGGACTAATAAAAGATTGAAACAGACACCAACTATCCTTATGAGTGGAGGAAAAAGAAGCTCTGAGGACACAACATAGAAACAGAGCTTCTCTTGCTAGCTGAATCCCAACTCTCTAGAATTGCATATCCACACCCCGGAGGTACTTGTTACACCACCAAGGTCACACTTTCTCTGACCATGTCACTCACACATGAATGATCTCCAATCATCACTGGTTTTTCCCTTTCATTTGCAAACACTGTGGCTGCTGAATTTAATGACTTTTTTGCAAGTGAGATTATAGTAGAATAAGAAGGTTCAGTTCCTAGTTTCCTAAGTTTTTCTTTTTATGTTTCTTACTATAGTGAAATTTCCCACAAAGATGAACTTGCAAATACCACAAATTGACATAACCAGTACAGGAAAAACTTGTCCTGTAGTATTTGTGAATCTTCTCTTAGTCATGCTTGGGTAGTTAGCATCTCATGTTTCCTGAAAGTTGTCAGAGATAATATCTGGATGAGAATTGTTTAAGGAAACCACAAACACTATTCCTGAGAAAAGTGAAACTTCTCATGTCTTCTACAGCCTGAAAATTGTTGGTGATGCTAAAGAAAACAGCTGTGCTTCCATTTCAAAAAACAAAGTTATATCTGAGAATTGCGATGCAGAAGTTAAGTTTATCTGCCAAAAGGAATTATATCCTGTCAGCAATGAAGGAGTGAAGAAACATGTATCTCTCTAAACATCCAATGATGTATTCAAAGAGAAGCAGACTAATTTGGAAAGGGGTTTTGTATTAAGCGTGGCATCTGCAGTGGCATCATTGATGCCTTGGAGCCTCCAGTTCATCTCCAGTAAAAAATAAATGATTTATGATATTTTTACATTCCCTATAATTTGTGATTTTTTTATTCCATCATAAACTGGGTTATATCAACACAGTGACAAAGACTTGAGAAGAGAAAAAGACCTCTCCCATCATCCTGTTCTTTTCATTTTCTCACTATAATGTTTTTATTGGATGTCTTTTTCCCCTGTGTCCTAAAGAAGCTGTAGAAAAGATGCTATCGAAGCTGTTATTCTAAATAACAATATGAGACATTTTTTAGTTCTGCAATTGAGGAAACAAGTAATAAATGAGATTGATTATATAGTATCTTCTCTTTAATGTTAACTACTTAAAAATGTGCTACCCTCTTTACAATAGCCAGAAACTGGAAGAAACCTGAATGCCCAAGAACAGATGACTGGTTAAAGAAACTTTGGTACATCTACACAATGGAGTACTATGTAGCTCTTAGAAAAGATGAAGTCATGAAATTTACATACAAGTGGTACAACATGGAAAGTATCATGCTAAGCGAAATGAGTCAGAAAGAGAGGGATAGACATAGAAAGATTGCATTCATCTGGGGGATATAAAGTAACAAAATATGAGATTAATACCCAAGAATAGCTGAGATCAGCACCAGGAGGATTACTCCATAGCTTAGTGGCCAGTCGGGCATTCTAGAAGAAAGGGCAGCTCAGACAGAGAAGGGAACACCAAATAAAGGGTGTTTGGAGGACCCTCCCAAGAGGGGAGATGCATGTCCAAAGTGGACTATGGACTGAACATGTTCGCCACTCAATGCCTCTTTTGCAGACCACAACACCCAAAAGGAGAGAGAGAACACAGGGGATTGCCCTGCCACAGAGGCGGGGGGGATGGGGGGATGGGGGGATATTATCCATGGTGGTGGAAAATGGGCACTGGTGGAGGGATGGGTATCTGATCATTGTATAATCAAACCCAAGCACAAAAAATTGTAAATCTACAACTGTACCTCATGGTGTTTCACTAATAAAAAAAAATTTTTTAAAAATGTGCTACCTTTCTATGGATCTCAAATGCAAGATAATATTGCACTTCAGACTTAAAATAGAAAATTGGAAAATATATCTACTTACTCCTACTGGGCCCACTCGAGCAAATTGATCAACAATGGGAGGACAGTTACAGTGGCTCCTATTATTTACTATCAATTATACATCTATTCTAGCTCCTATTATAATGAACAAAATATTATTTCTATTTGACTCAGGATTATTTATAATTTTTTAAATAATAGAAAAAATTAGGAAACTTTGCAGCCTTACGTCCTCTCTAACTCCAATCTGGAACAGCCTCAAGTGCACACATCTGTAAGAGACTTTCAGAGTAAAACAATTTCTTCACCCTAAGGTTAGGTGCTGTTGTTATCATTTGTTATTGTAGTATTGGAATTCTCAAACTTCTGGTTTGGCAGAATTCTGCGTAGGTCATCTTCAAAACTCAAAATGCAAAGATGTAATTCTATGAGGAATACATGTTTAACCATATTCTGGGTGGATTTTAAAAATTAGTTTTAATGGAATATATTTGCTTAAAGTATTTGAGTTACTGTGTATTGACAATAAACTAATTGCAAATCAAATTTATGCCATGTGAAACCCACACACTGCTTCATTCCAGCTCAGCATCCACAAATCCCTGCGCAGTCAATCTCCAGAACCATAGTTTCCTCACCATTTTCCAAACACAGTATGCATTTTTAATCTATGATTAAATACAAGTTATTCCAAATCTTGATACTTAAAAGTCCACCTCTATTCTTTGTTTTGAAATATCCTAACAATTAAAAAATTTTAATGAATTTTTTATTCATTTTTGAATTTTTTCTCATGTCTTTCTGTCTCACAAGAGTTACATTTTTTCCTCTCCTCTGAAATGTAATTGAATTTCTTCCGTATGTCATAATTAGAAATTTTATCTTTTTAGAGAATATTTTTTTAAGTTTTATATATGCAAGGCTGGTATCACTTCTCCTTTGAATGGGGTTGGACAAATACCAACATAGAGCAATGAGAGCAAGAAAAGTTCCAACATATCTTTATAGTTGTTAGGGCGCAGATCGTGATCTCCCTTTAACGACAAAGAGACTCCAGAGACTGCAAACAGCAAGCAAGGTTTATTGTGAGACTGGCTAGCCAGGGTCAAGCCGCCTACACAGACACGCAGGTCAGTTAGGTGAGGCAAGACCCCGAACTTCTTCAAAGGGGATCTTATATAGGCCTTCACTGGCCGTTACAGCAAAGCCCGCGCATTTCATAGCCAGTAGATTTGTAACAACATATACTTTCTTAACCAATCCATTTGAAAGTACATCACTCCTTAGCCTATAGATTCGAAGATCAGCATTTATGTACATAGGCATTGTGACTAGTGGGCATCATGTAACTGGGACATTTGGTTATCACCTGGCTTCCTTTGATTCTCAGCCCTGCATTCCGTGGAGGTGGATAAGGGAAAAGTTCCTAAGGGAGGTAACAGATAAGGAGGGCCCAACAAATGGTTCCTGAATTTACATTCCAACAGGGAAGAGTTTCACTCTAAAGCTCTGCTAGGGAGGGGGCAGGAAAGGGAGAGTTACTAATTTATAGAGTTTTAACTCTGGAATCTCCCTCGGGGTCCCTAGGGACCTAACAATAGTCAGCTGGGAAGAGCAACCAGAATAGAAGAGCAACTATTTTTGTGGGAAGGATTCAGGACTCTATGAATCTATGAATTGTCATTTTGTCATTATTTTGGTTGGGGGGATAAGCAGGGTAGGAGGCAGGAATGGCAGATATCACACCTAGTGCCCCATAGCACAGTAGCACTGTCCTCCCGTTGTTCACTGATTTTTCGTGCAGGCCCCAGTAATGTCTCCATCGTGAGACTTCTTGTTACTGTGTTTGGCATATTGAATACATCACGGGTGGCTTTCCAGGCTTTGCTGTGCAGGTAAGATACTCGTGGTAGCTTGATGAGCTCTCCAAGAGGGGAGGAGGAATCAAACCCGGCTCGGCCAGCCGGCTGCGTGCAAAGCAAACACCCTACCACTGTGCTATCACTCCAGCCCCATAATGTGAAGCAACATGGATCACTCAGAAAATATTTGTTTTGTCCCTGTGTGATAGCATCTTTATTTCTTTCCAAATGGTAAAATAAAAAAATTACTTTGTTTATTTGATTTTATTTTGCTGCTACTACTACTACAATGACTACTACTGATTTTTAATCCTTCTCCAGTGGGAATATGAGCTCCAGGAGAGCAAGGACCTTCTTAGCTCTGTTGACCAACGAATGCCTGGTTTGGGCACATAGAGGATGCTCAATAAATATCTCCCAAATTAACTAAAGTTGAATCAAATTTCCTTCTCCAATGAGCCTAGTAGCTGGTTTTGGCTTGGGGTCTGTAACACAGATGGAGTGAGGTCATCTTGGGACTGCCATTACTTCAAAAATCTTCCTTCTTCGTGTATATGCCCCTAGATTGCCTAGAAGCTCGGTATAGAAGCTGGCATAGTGTGGTTGTCCTGAAAATATCTTTATTTTCACATTTTAATAATAGAACTAGGATAGTACATAAACATTTAGGAGATGACCCAGTAACAGAGGTCAATGTTGAGTCACAAACGTTCAATTCCACTGCTGTTCAAGGACCTTCAAATGACAGTCCAAGTGACAGGGTCCAGGGAAACTGACTTACAGGCAGCAAGCAGGCAGATGAAAGATGGTGGAATCATGTCCTCAGAACAACCCATCTCAACTGCAGCATCAGTTTGCTTGCTTGCTTTTCACAGGAAAAAATCAAGAGGAAAAGGCTAGATTACAGATAGGTGAGCGCCCGGAAAAAAATAAGACCCCCTTCCTGGGGTCTTCTCCAGAGGCAAACCTCTTTTTATCAATGATCAAATGTCCTTACCCAGACAAAGTAAGAACAAAAATGAAAAACAGTGTCCTTTCTTTAGACTTCTGGGTGGAAGGACAATAGGACAAAAATCAGTGTCCTTGTCTAGAGTTCTCATTTGTTTGGAATTACTTCAATTTCAAATCAGTCTTCAGGATTTAGGAGACCCATTGCATTCTTATCTCAGTTTCATCTATTAGGACACCTTCAAAAATACATAAGAATAATGGATGCTCAAGATGTGTACTGGGTTTTACCTTTCCTTCTTAGGCAATTTTCATTGCTCTACCTTAGAAAATAAATTACTCTGACCTGGCCTACTGTTTCCAGGCAAAGGAATGCAATAGGCGTTATTGAAATATGCTATTGAGATCTCAACTAAGATTTGTCTCCAGGAAGGATGTTATCTTCTTCAACTTTAAATTCAGTGTGAAACATGAAAATACACAGTTCCCCAATCATTTATAATTCATTATTTGGTGCCAAAATGAAAACCAGATTATTAAAATTAATGATGAATATAGAAATGAAATGGTGCTGCTAAGGAAGGCGGGGTCAAAATGGAAGCTTTGCAATCAAAATTATATTTATCTTTTTCTCCATAAATGGATTCCAGAAAAATATCTGGTCTTGTAGGCACTCAATGTCACTGTCACTGTCCTCCTGTTGCTCGTCGATTTGCTTGAACGGGCCCAGTAATGTCTCCATAGTGACACTTGTTACTGTGTTTGGCATATAGGATAACACATGGGTAGCTTGCCAGGCTTTGCCGTGAGATCGAGATACTCTCAGTATCTTCTTACTGAGAGGGGTGAAGGAATCAACCCTGGGTTGGCCGCATGCAAGACAAATGCCCTACACGCTGTGTTATCGCTCCATGTAGAGTCAAAAAAGAATTCAAACAATATAAAAAAATATTCCATGTCAGAGCTTAAGGTCTGTAGAAAACTGAATGGTTCAAAGAAAAAGTTCTGAGAAATACTACTGAAGTTTTTGTTCAAGTTTTTCCTGCTAAATATCCTCATTTTCTCTTTACTTCTTGAAAACTTAATGTTTTTTGTCTAAAGCAACTGGTGTTGGCGTGGATGTGGCGAGAAAGGAACCCTCCTCCACTGCTGGTGA